TCTGGGATAGCTCGCTTCAGAATGCGTTCCATCACCTTGCACGGCACGCTATTGAGGCTTATAGGCCTATAGCTGCCAGACGATAGTCGGTCACCAGTTTTGCAGATTGGCGTGACAGTCGCTTCCTTCCAAGCAGAGGGAAGGTGGCCTTCGTCAAGCGACTGATGAAACAAAACGTTCAGCCGTAACACCCTTCAGGTGTTTAACTGCCACGCTACCCGAAGGCTGCACGAGTGCTGGGATACTGCCAGGTCGCCCAAGTCTAGACAGCGGAAGTCGAGAGGCAGAGGTCGGGTTCGAGCCATGGACCTTCCGATCAGTAAATTCGCGATCTAACCACCTAGGCCATTTCTTTCGCATTCCAGCTCTCTCGCATTCCATATTGTGTCAATCGCCTAACCGTTTTTACTGGAATAAGAAAAAGTACAAAAAGAGTACCTGTACAATTTCACGCGATACGAACGTGGTCACGTGCTTCTACACTCTTCTGATTTCGCTCACACTGATAGTGATCTTTCGCGAGTCTCATGTGCTAACTCTGGTGTCACATTCCAGACTATCTTCGGAGTCTTCGGAACTGTCCAGAAGAAGACCCCTGGACAAACATGATTAGATTATTGTTCACTGGCTGACCTTGGCCAGCGATGAACTATTTTAAAGAGAACAGTTGTTGGTGAGTGTGGTTCGTTTGACCTCTTTTATTGGTTGTTGATTGGGTGGCTATTGAATTGTTCGCCGAGTGTAGCAACGGACTTGCACACGTTTCGTTACCATACGAGGGTACATCATCAGCGCTCAGTCTGGTGGGTACTACTCCCTTGCCCGCGTGCGTTTATATAGCATTCGAAAGCTATCTGTTATCTGACATGATTGGCTACAAATTTTGCGAATCTATGGGTCCGTTTGTGATACTTGTAACTTTGCAGCCTGTGCTCCTTTGTATTGGTCATCCCAACGCTTTTGATTTTAAGTAGATTTTCTCTGGCCTCAACTCGCATTGCTTTGTGTTCTAGTGTCCTCGAGTTGGATTATTTGCTTGTATCTCCCTATTTTCTCTACCGGGACGGCTAGTGTCCCTGCGTCCATCGGTTAATTTGGTACTTTGGTTGGGCGCCCTCTCCAATCAAATTGGTGTTTTCGATTGAAGGGGCTTTCCTGCTCCTTCTTCAAGTTCCCCGTCTGATTACTTTAGAAGCTCAAAGCTCTGTGGTTATGGCGTTCCCTTGCTGGTAGTGCTTGGTAAATGGGATCAATATCTATATGTTTGTGGTCGGCTTCTTAGTGGAGTACAATGCTTCCGTAAATTCGCGTTCCTTTTTCGTTCTTGCCTGAGGCATTTTGCTAACGCTGCTCCAGTTGAACCCGTGTCCCTCCTGATCTTTGTGTATGGGGGTGAGGGAGAATTGATCGAGTCTTTAGCGGCGAGCTTGTTTTCATGTATTTCGGTGGAGTGCTTCCTCCCTGTTTGTCCTATATACCGTTTATCGCTGTCATTGATTTGGTTCCTGTATATGGCATTGTTCTTCGTCATTGTATTTAATTTACCTTTTGGTCTTGATAGTGTCCTCCTCAGTGTCCGCAAGTCTTTTGGTCTTGATAGTGTCCTCCGCAGTGTCCGCAAGTTTGTAAGGGACGATTGTACTGTGCTGTCGTAAATGCCTTGCCGTCATTTCGGCGGTGTTCTTGATGTACGGGAGTGTAACTCGTTTGCTTGCATTTTGTCCTGTTACATCGATCGTATTTGGTTTTCCTGAGTGATTTCCAGATGAAATTCCTAGGGTATCCATCTTTCCAAAACAATACGTATAGGCGCTTTCCTTCTTTGATCTTGGATCCTGCTGCGCTACAGTGTGTCTTGTTCTGCTTGAAAAGTGTCCGAATTCAACTCCGTTTGTGGCAAATTGGATGGTTGCTGTGGTACCTGAGGATTTTGTCCGTATTTATTACCTTTCTGTTGATCTCACTTTGTAGCTGTCTGTTCAGTAACCTAGTGATAAGGACGTCCATAAACGTCAGTTTTCCGTTGTTTTCTTGCCCGTCCTACTTGACATTAGGACAACGAAGATAACACCTCCTCTCAAAGAGTCATTCGGACGGTAATGACGGGTGCGACGATGGACAGATTAGGATCGGTCCACAAACAAGGTGAAAATATTTGAATTTTGGTTACGGGTGGTTTAATCTGATTCGGGCAGCCGCCGTGGAAACAGGGAGCGTTAGGGCGTCACCTAATGAATTGGGTGGTCTACTCCAATATGGCGGGGAAATTGAAAAAAATTCTAGCATGTATGAGTGGTGACCCTCGGTCGCACAATTTTCTTTTCTGAAAAACCATTGCGTGTGAAATAAAAGTTTTTACCTAAAATACTGCATGTTATTTTCGGTATGCCAAAACCGAAAATGCATCTTAATCTTCCTTCATTTTGTTTCAATTCATCTCGATTATTCTACCTTCCAAATTATTGATGCGCATTGTACTTTGAATTCACAGTGCAATTACTTCAGTAATGGTTTCATACGTGTTTGTTAGGGAATAAGGGGCTGTCCGCTGTTCATCCTGGACGTCATTCGAGAAGCCAATAAGGGAATGCATGACGAATAACTACGTGGCATTTGTGCCTGTAGCCATGTGACGAACGTGACTGGTGCTCTATTGATTATTCTCTTGTTTTAATATTCTAAGCGCTTTGCGCATAAATCAATTCAAATACATACGTGCTACTGGATGCGCTGTACTGAATTCTGACTTTCTATATCGTCTGGTTATACCGATACACGTGCTTAACTCAAGTGCTACATTTTTTGCGTCACGATTGGAGCGATTCATCGTGACTGCCGAAATAGAATCAATAAGCGTTAATGCAGCTGCGCGAGACGTAGAGGATTGTTTGGAGCGGTTTGACATAGTGGCCTACAATGTTCGATATGGATGACAGGAAATACATGGCATATTTTCTACATTTTGTTGGAAAAGAGGCGTATCCATTGATTAGGGATTTAATATATCCTGAATCTCCAAACCATTCTTTCTAAAATGCATTAAAGAAAAATTTTCTCCAACCCTTCAAACTGATTAACTTCGTATCGGCCGATAGAGCTTGGTTCAAAATGCTAAACCGCTCATATTTTCAACAGCCTCGTGATTTTGTATTGCAGTCACAGACACAGACAGCCTAATGTGATTAAGGTGCCCAACTAGAAGACCACTTGTGTGATGGACTCATTGTCGATATCCAATTGCCCAAACTACAGAAGCTGCTGCTTTGTCCAGAAAAATTTGAACTATTCAGAAAATATTTGAGCAGAATGAAGATGTGAAGCATATACCGAAGACTGATGAGGCAGTGTCGCTAAATTATTCCAAATGAAATAATCCAGGGATGCAGATGGACAGCAACCTTTGAGCACATTTTCGTGCTCCGACGTCATCAAACGTCGCCTTAAAGATCGAAATCCCAATTCGGTGGTTCCAAAACGTGGGAAATGTGCATCTTGTGGACGATATTCCTGCTTTCACAGACAAGCGAAATGTTTTATCTGTGGGAAAACGGGACACATTCAACTTGTCTTTAATGCCAAAAAGTGTACCGCTTAACTCCTTATCCTGATACTGACGTTCAAACGTTAGCTGAAAACACCTATACTTTTTCCCCATCTATTTTGCCCAAAATCGGTCACACTTTTTTAAAACGTTGATATTCGTTCCTGGTCTAAACCACAATGTTATTGTTGCCACTTGTAATGTTGAGCCGATTAGTCAACAGTCATATCTAACTGCATTTTATCCCGGCGTTGTGACAGTGCCTACAGGAGTAAATAGCCACGTTATCAGTAAACATTCCGTAAATCTAGTTGTTAGTTGCACAAGTCCTGTGAGATTGCCCCAATGTTCTTCCGTCAATTGTACTTTTTGAGTTCCAAACTCGAAAACATCGACTATCGTAATCAAACTTCCGCGCTTATTGCAAACTTGTATCACCTTAGTGACAACTGTAAATGAGAATGAACTCAGACGACTGATTCTTAAATGTCCTAAGGCTACAGGTGGCATGCGAATTCTCAAAGTGAAACTCAAAACTGCAGGATACCCTAGGTTTCTCAAAAGAGAATTATTCCTTTTGATTTACGGGAACCTGTTAGCCAACCATTGAATTCAGCGTGTGAGAACGGAATGCTGACTCCTCCCAAGTCATCAGATTTGTCAGCTACGGTAGTTACGCCACCAAAAGCCGATGGTATTGCTCCGAGAATTTGTACCGATTACCGGCTAACGTTAAATGCGCAGTTACTCCAACGTAAATGCACCTAGAAGAGCCCGAAGATGTAGTGTATCCTTCATAAGGTTCAAGTGTGTCCCAAAACATTAATCATAAAGGTACCACTGGACAAGGGCTCTATTAATCTTACCGTAATCAACACACCTTTTGGGTTATTTCGATACACTCCATTTTTGGTCTGGATATCTCATCAGCCGTATTTTATCAAGTTATCGATACCATTACAAAAGATTTAAGGGATGTTGAGACGCACCAAGATGATACAATATTGCGCGCTGGTAATAGAGCCACCCTTGATATGCGTCTGTTCAATGTAGCCATGTATCTCGGCGAATGCTCCTCCGGTGTTTCACCGTTTTCATGCCTTGGATACATTGTGGATGGTAGTGGTTTTAAACCCAATACAAACGGTCTTTCTCCTTTAGTAAATGCACCATCATCAATCAAGCTATGAGAGCTGCGTTCTTTTCTAGCAGCACTTGAAAATTACCCTCGTTTTGTGCTTGATTTTGCCAAACATGCAAGTTGCTCGTTTCATGTCATATCTGACGATCAATTTTATTGGTCTACAACCACGAGAGGACGTTGCGCACATTGCTTGATCCCCGCACAGGGCCTTTCGTTAATGAGACATCATGCATATCAAGTTAGTGTCTCATTTTCCTCAGCGTAGTGGTCAGTAGGCAAAGACACTACAATGAATAAGGCTTTCAAAATCAGACGTTAAAGATGGTGTTATGTGGAGAGTCCTACACTAGATCGCCACGACTGATGTGCTCCATTAATGAGGTACGCACGGCTCCAAGTTTGAAAGCCACCTGCTTCATACTTGAATAATATCCTTCTCTTATTTCAGGACGTCCATCGTTCAATGAGCACTGCGCACAAGCAGTCGTACACTTTCCGGCAGGACGTATGCATTGATGAAAATGGCCAATAAAATTCAACTTTTCATTTCGTGAATTTTGAGTCTCCGGGTTTTCCGGCAGAGAAGCAACTGGGCACGTGCTGGTCAGTTGATTGGGCATCATGGACCCATAGCCGTATGTTAAAAGTGTGCGTCAGCTAGGTTCACCCAGCTGTCTGCCATATTCGATGTCGACTACATATAGTTGGTTGATTGGGTACCGTGAACCCCCAGCCGCATGTTAGTCGAGACCGTCGGCCCGCTTCGTTCGGCTGCCCAGTATGGTAGGTTACATGATAGTCCCGGCAAGTTTTCTAGTTTGAAACCGTGAACTCTGTGCATCTGACCACCAAACTCGAGCTACGGGCGTAGGTCGCTATCATCTGCAAACGTTGATTGAGTTTTACGGAAATAATAAATGTCCGTTTCGATGATAACCCAGAAAAGCAATTCAGGCGGTGCCAGAAAGTAGAAGTTGGTATTCGACCAGTCAAGCATGATGTGCGTAGCAAACATTTACTACAGGATTGGTGCCTTTGTGTATCTTGTGTTCACAAGCATAATGTGAACTCTAAAACGCTCAATGAATTATTGTATTTGCAGGACTAACTAGAATATTCGCCGGTTGTATGCAGTTCACATTTTACCGCAGTTCGCGATACCTTATTATATCGGACAAGGCTTTTCCATTCGGTGGTGAATAATGACCTAGTAGATTTGGTCCATGCAGATAATCTTCGGAAAAACTCTTTAGACACAGACGCTCTTCACTATGGATTAGTAACCTTGAGAGTGTCGTAGTTTTTGAGAAATCAATTATATTTGTAAACCACGAGTGACTTGCTTGACAATAAGTAGTCACCGATGAAGCTCAAGATGCTGAATCCTCAAACCATCGCTGTGAAAGACGGCCAAAATAGTATGTTTGTGACACTTAGGAGGATCACAAGCGGTCATTGAACGTCAGCTTAAAAATGATTCCCGACATAAAGTGCAGGAAGATGAATACAGACTACATCAGGAGCAGCTGTTTTTGGAGCCTTCATTTGAATAGTTCTGGGTACCATTTCTTGTCACGTTAACTGAGAGGCCAAAAGGCACACAATTTTCGCAACGATGTCAGATAAACACGTGACCAGGAAAACGATACTGTCGGGATTGATAAGGATCTCCAATATTGATTAGCGGGATGCGTAACTTCGGCCAATTGATAGCTATCAAAAAAGGAGACCGGTTCGGGACTATCCACAGTCAAAGATTCTTTGGGCGTAGCAGTGCCGATATTTAAAGTAGCCTAGAAAAATTGTAAGAAGTAAATGTCAGGTTACTAAAAAGTGGCTGAGTAGCAGTAGTTTCGCGCGCTGGAGAAGCATGTGCTTGATGAATCACAAGCACCAGCCCTCAACCATTGTCAGGAGCGATGTAGTTGATATAGCATCATTTCAATGTTCTCCACAAGGCCACTGGCGTAAATTTGGAGCCAGCA